GAGCCCTATCAATTCCAAAACCGCCTGTTCATAGAGATCAAAAAGTTTTGTCTGGCAATTTCAGTGGGTAGTCTGTAAAACAGTATCCCAATGGCCACTATTAATGTCAGCCACAAAACTCAATACTGTCCATGGTATTCAGAGACAGTAGTTTCCTCCTGTAAGGCAGCCAGTGCCCAATGTGAACTTCTTGAGGTGCAGCATAATAAGACTGATCACATCCGAGGACTCGAATCCATTCGACAGCTACAGCTCTCTGGGTGCAGGTCTACAACACCACTATCATCCTCTGCCATAGGACACACCCCTTTTCATATTTAGAAAGCACTTCTGTTTGAAGTATAGTTTCTAAGGTCTAACATGAGTTTACCCATATAGTAAAATTTCCCAGCACCATTCAATGATTAATCCATTCCCACCCCCATTGGTTTGAGTTCATTATTTTATTTATTTATTTATTTATTTATTTATTTATTTTTAATGTTTTTGGTACAGGGTCTAGCTGTAGTGATCCTCCTGTTTTCAGCCTCCCCAGTGCTGGGATTACAGGCATGCACCACGACACCCAGTCTCAGTGGCTGGCTAAGCACGCCTAGGGGCAGAGCTGGTGCGGCATGTGTGGGGCTCAAACCCCTGTCCCTGCTGGTCCCTATGCTTGCCTAAGCAGGCACTTAGTCTGCTGAGCTATCTTGCCAGCCCTCTTTATTTTATTTCTTTTTTTTTTTTTTCACAAGGTAAAAAGTTTTTTTCCAAAGGTATTTTATTTCTGTTTTACTTTATTTTTATTTCTCTTCCTCTTTTTCCCTCTATTTTACCATTCCCTCTTTTGCCCAGTACAGAATCTCCCTGCCTCTGCTTCTGGGTGCATTCCCCTGTGCCCTGTTGAGTTCCTTCTTTTATCATTATGCCTATTTGTCCAGCTGTTGTTCTGCCGTCAGCATAACATGTGATTTCTTTTACTTGGTAATGCATTGTAACCGGTTGTTAGCCACCTGCGGCCTTGGTTAGTCAGTGAGTAGCTAAGCAGTTAGGGGGTACCGAGCCATGACGCAACATGAAAAGAGGAGCTGTGGGATGCATGACTGAAGTGCATACCGTACATCCAATGATGTGACCCGGAGAAAGAAAAACAGACCAGTGGCTTCCGGGAGGGATGCATAGGTGGAGCCCAGAGGACTTTAGGGAAGTGAAGATACTCCATATTACCTTTTGGGGGTCTTATGTAAACAATACTCTGTCTTTTGTAGTACAGTAAAACCTTGGTTTGTGGGCATAATCCTTTCTGGAAACATGATTGTAATCCAGAGTACTTATATATATAGCAAAGTAAATTTCCTCATGAAACAGTGGAAACTCATGACTCATTCCACAACCCAAAATATATGCTTATGGTACTCTAATACAAAATAAAATATAAAAAGTGTATAGAAAAGTAAGTGGATTACGTGCACTTGCCTTTGGGAACCTTCATGGCTGGTGTGAGGAGGTAGAGGAGGGTTATTGTGTTGGACAACTTTCACTAATGGAGTCATTGCTGTCTTGTAAGCTCAGTCTTTTTCTTTTCATGCAGCTTTAAGAAGGAATCTATTCAGTGACACTTGCTTTTGCCTCTTTTTGAGAGTTTCACCAAAATCCAACATTATCCTTAACACATTTGTTGCTCACGTGTTCTGCTTCAGCCTCCTCCATGTAATGCTCTTCTACAAAATTTTGCATTGTGACCCACATTTTAGACAGCTGCCTAGTTTCATTTGAAGTGAGGGATTGTTCTGCCTTTTTCTCCACCTCTTCCTTTGCAGCTGAGCTCTCCATAACCTCTTGCTGTTGCTTGTAACATAGATCTATCAGTTCATCGGCAGTCAGCTTTTGCCATGTTCCTCCATTAGCTCTTGAGTGTTTGCCTCCTCCACCTCCGGTCCGAGGACACAATTTTATTTTCAACTTGTGGCTTCTGTTCATGAGCAAGGCCTGCAAAGCCATGTCCAAGATCGCAGTCAGGCCAACGTTTTCTCTATGCAGAATTGTAGGTTCTCCTTGCAGGTCCTCTCCAGGATAAAGCCATCCCGGCTTTTATCGATGATCCTGTAGCAGGTCATGATATGGAAATGATTTTTCCAAAACTTCTAGAGGGTAAAAACTTGTTCCTTTGGTCACCTCAAAGCACCGCTGAAATAAATACTTTGGTATAAACTTTTTAAGGCTCAAAATGACTTGATCAGATTGGAGTGGAGTTAGGAAGAAGAACCCTGACCTTAATGAACTCAGATTCCTCCAATAAGTCATCCCAAAACCTGGAGGATGTGCAGGAGGACAATCTGTACACAGAAGAGCAGCCAATTTTCTAAAAGGTATAGAAGATGTATAAACTGCAGGACCAAAGACCCCACTGACCCACTCAACAAACAAAATACATGTGACCCAGGCAGACCTTGATGTTGACCTCCACAGAACACTTCACTGGCTCTTGTACACCTTTGTGTGTGTGTGTGTGTGTGTGTGTGTGTGTGTGTGTGGCCGGCTCAGCCTACCCTGGGGTCAAGGCTGGCATGGTGACAGGGATTAAATTGCAGTTCCTACGCTTGCCTAAGCAGGTACTTTAGGCCGCTGAGCTATCTCGCCAGGCCCATCCTTGCATTTCTTGAAAGCCCATGGGAGACAGACACTGAGAGAGACATTGTCTGTTGCCGTTGTTGGCTTATTGGCATTGTTGCTGTTCTACCACCAAGAACTGCTGTTCTCTGCCCTGTGCCCCTCTGCCCTGGAGCCAGCTGAATATGGACTAAAACCTGCAGTAACTACGACCCAGGCTGCGGGATCCTGAACAGACCCAGAGCGCAGGCCCCGCGAGTGAGTGAGACGACCCAGGCCAGGATCCTGAATAGACCTGGAGCGCAGGCCCCGCAAGTGAGTGAGACAACCGGGGCCCTGGGATCTTCATTCGACCCAGGCTGCAGGCCCAGCAGGGAACACTTCAGCAGAACTCCCTGCAAAGAGGCTAG